ATGATTTAAGGAACACAAAACCTAGATCACGATGTAGGCTTGGCTTCCACTCTTCCATAAGTTCTTGTATTCACATACTGTTCACTTGCAAGCTGGGAAATGTTTGAGGTGTTTCTTGTATGAACCGCTGGTTTCAAATACCCCACAACATGTTAATGAGATCAAGGCCTGGACTTTGACATCTTCCCATTTTAAAAATTGTCAGTCTGTGGGTTTACTGGTAGCTTCAGGCTCACTGTCATGTTGTGGGTTCTTCCTCAGTGTTGTCATTTTTACAGATGGTCTCACATTTTCCTCATACACTTTCTGATTTGCATTTGAAACTGTGGCAGATTATTTAATGGTGGATTCTATTCCCCAACCATGATACTGTGCTGTACTCTGAGGTTTTTTTATTTTTTCTATTTGGATGGATGGAAACTTGACGGTTCTCACCTGGAGTGGGCTCCATCTTTGCCTTGGAGCCTTTAGATGACTTCCTCATGATGGCAATCAGAGAGCTAATAAAGAGAAATGTCATTAGTCATTCGTTTCCCGACCTGTTCCTATATATTTCTATATATTAGTTTTGGTCTTTTTTAGAAGATAGCACATTGCTTATTGTGTTTAATGTGCTGCTTCTGACACCAGAGTATCTGTTTGTTTAAAGTCTCACCTGAGGGGGTTGCATCTGGAAGGGGGAGGGGGTGGGGGAGGCGGTGGTGGAGGAGGAGGGGGCGGAGGGGGCTGTGGGGGAGGGGCGGGAGGTGGTGCTACCCCCGGTGCTGGCGGAGGAAGGCTGGTGCTGTCCACAATTTTATTCTGGAGCTCATGGACTAAAAAAAAAACAGAAAACGTAACACACTAAGAACAGTAAGAACAATAGGGAAGCCAATGAGACTGCAGGTTAAATACTTTATTAAATCTTAGCTGAGGTTTGTGTGACCAAAGTATGGGATCATCAGAATCAGAATCAGAAATACTTTAATAATCCCAGAGGGAAATTACTTCCAGAGGGAAATTACTGGGTTCTAGCTTCCAATGCAGTCAGAAATGTGTGTCACCATCAGTGGAATCAACATGTTAAATCAATGCACAGCTACAAACAAGCATCAGTTCATTTTCTTTCTCAAACCTAATATAACATTTTGAGCAAACATCTTTCTTGAGCTTTCTTTCTCATGTCTTTTCTCTTTATTTTCTCCTGTAAAGAATGCCAGCCAACCAGGAGGAAGAATTTTATGTTGCTATGCAGAATGTCTTTATAATACTTTTTTTTCTGCTCTCTGAAAGCCCATAAACGTCCTCCTCTCTAACTCCACCCACCTCTTTCCTCCAGCTCCTCGTTCTTCTTCTCCGCCTGCTCCAGTCGTCCCTCCACCTCCTTCTTCTCCACCTCCAGCAGCTCTAGCTGTCTCTGAAGAGCCTGCAGCTCTTTCTTCAGGCAGCTTTCCTCTAGCTGGGTCTCCAGGCTCTGTACCTACACCCAACATGAAACAAATAGATGTAGAGTGCGATTGTGTTATTAGTCTTAAGTATTTCTGCATCATGCATAGATTAGCTATGAACAAATTAAATGTTATAAATCTCACAAATTGTAACAACTAGTTTTCTTTTCTACTGTATGTGTGTGTAATCAAAGGCAGTTACTGTTGGAGAGGATATATATGCATTAACCCTAAGATGGACTCAGGTGCAAATTTGTAACTTCAAATTTTATTTAAAAAATATTTATTTTAGAAACATAATTCAGAGTGTTGTACAGTATATCAGCATGATACAGCGTTGTATTTGATAGGTGCTCTATTTACATGAATATTGCAAGGCACTGGAGGTGATTAGCCTGTTATTGCCGCTGTTATTTTAATAGCAACCTTATATGGCTAGACTGGATGTTTCTCCCCATCTTCTGGGCCTAATATCCATTAAACATTTAAGTTTGTCAAGTAAATAACATTAAAAAAGGTATCTAAATATTTGGCAATCTATGCAAGTACAAAATCCTACTAGAAAAGAAAAGTAGCATTGAGCAGCGTTGAAGAGGAAGCAAGATGTGCTTCTTTCTGTCAGTTTTGAAAAGTGACGCTCTTTTTAAGTTCATCTGATTTCTGTACAGAAACAGAGAGCTATGAAGCATCTCAATTAAAAATGAGCATGTGCACCTAAAATTGTATCCGAAATGGAAAAATTAATACTTCTCTTTTATTACTACTTTGTTAAAGAAAATGTAAGCAAATTTTTGTCATTTTAATTTTCTTTTTAGTCTAAATGCGGTTTCTGTCTCTTTTGTGGTGATCTAAAGCTTTCTGCTGGCTAAATTGAGTACCAACACACGAACACACTATGATTGACAAATCCCTGCAGCTCCTGACATTTAAAGTAGAACTGAAGGGAAATAATTCTGGGTTTACCTTCTGCTGATGCTGCAGACGCTCCTCCTCCAGGGTTTTAGTAATAGCTGCCACATCTTCCAGAGCTTTCAGCAGCTGAATGCTGGGCTCAGCACTCTGCAGCAGTAGCATGCTCTGTCTGTTGGCCTCCTTCTGCTTAACCAGCATCTGAAAAGAAAAAGAAAAAATGAGAAGGAGGCCTCTTTGCTTTCAGAAATGTTAGTTATGTTCAATAACTATAAATCCTGGAGTGTATTTTTTTCCTCTCAGTTAAGTAAAACATTTTTAATATATCAATTTCCAAACCCAGCATATATAGACAGTAGACAGATAGATTTGGATGCTTTAATCTTTTGAAATATTTGCTGCCATTATTATGTAACCAAAATTTCTGTTTAACATCTAACAATGTCAAAGCTTAATGAGAGCTCTACAGTAAAACAGTTTCCTACAGTTTAACCTTGTGTTTCTGTTACCCCCTCGTTTACCTCGTGTGCATAGGTCTCAGCTTTGACTCTGAGGTTCTGCTCCAAATCCAGCTGCTCCTTCATCCCGTCATACTCCTGAGCTGCCATCATAGAGACTGCATAAAGAGACATAGAATATTTGGGGTTAAACAAAAAATAAATGCAAAATAAAAAAAGTATTATTTTCCCTATTTAGTCCCCAGAGCAGATGTACAAAGTGTGATGAGATTAAAGAGTGCAAGACAAGGATTCTGATAGAGATAATCACTTTGCTTTCTTTGTACCATTTTGTCTTTATTGTGTGGCTTACGTGCTAATGCGTTATTGTATATTTGAACATTTCCTATGATGGTCTCTGCTATAAAGAAGAGAAAATATTCTGGAACTAAAGTTTTTCAATAAAAATCAGATTTCCTTAAAAAAAAAAAAGCATAGCTGACTTAAAATGTGTCTTCTTAAGGTGTATTTATCTGTAAATGGGGTGTCTTTATGCATACAGCACTATCTTGGTGTGGTTTTGATTCAAGTTGCTTCTAAACTCACAAGTTCCTTCTATTGTGACTCACCTCTGTTAAATCTCTTGATGGTTTTGCTTTGCTGTTCAACTGTTTCCCGAAGCTGTTTCATCTCCTCCTGATTTTTCTCAGACTGATGACAACATGAAGATGTGAAAAAGTCAGGAACAGTTAAAGGAAAATGCAAGAGTCAGCGGTTTGTGACAGAGTAGTGCACGTGTGTGCAGACCTGCTCTTACCAGTATGGTCAGCTCTTCTATCTGTCTCTGCTGTTCGTGAATCTGACAAACGAATCCTTTCTTCTCCTCCAATAAACTGGTCACTGTCTCCCTCAACTCTGAAGAAACAACATCTTGGTTTATTGATGGTGGGGAATACAAAAATCCCTTTTGTACAGTTTTGTTACAATGAAGGTTGTGGACCATCTATTAAATATTACACAAAGAAAACCTGAGAAACTAAGAAAAAAACATTTTGTTTTTTTTTATAAAATAAAAAAAATCCCCTTCTAACATATCTGGTCCCATGTTAAAGGAGTATGAAATGGTTATAACCATGTGGTACCAATAAGGACCATCAGACAATTGTGATAACTGGCAATGAGATTTTACCTTATTGTGGAGAAATGTTGGTCTTGCTTCTTTGCAGCTGTGTTTTAATTCAGCCATTAGAAGTTTTGATATTATAAATGGCCTGCTTAAGGTTATGTCATGCCAAAATCTGAACTTGCGAAAATCCATTTCTTTTAGCCATTCAGATGTGGCTAAACATTCCCTTTTGAGATGATTGGTTGGAGAGTTGAATTCATGGTTGCCCCATTTATCCCTAATGGTTCGGGGTCTGAAGCAGCAGAGGAGAACCAAACACTGCTGGTGTAATGTTCTATTTAAAAACTGCATTTAGTTTTACGCACATTTGATAAAATGTTCTAATATGGTATCATCAATGCAGAGCATTCCTCTGGGCTTGCATTTAGCTTTTATTCAGCAGTGGTTTTAATCTCAGAAAACTCCTCTGGATGCCATTATTATTGACGCCATCCTTACCAGGCCTCTCTCTCGATGTTAAAACATTAATTCTAACAAATTCTTCTTAACATAGGGAGATGAGGCCTACAACCCTTTAGATGTGTTCTTTTATATCATGTCTGTAAAGGTTGCTGCACTGCAGATGCTGAATATTTCTGTTCCTTATGAAACTCATGAAATATGTATGTTCATAAAGTAGAAAAACTTAGGAAAGATAGAAAGAGAAATGATATTAGAGATTGGGAGAAATTTAAAACAATAAAAACACTGGTATAAATGGAAAAGAAAAAAAAGACATCCAAAAAGTTAAGGGAGTGAATACAACAAACTGGTTTAGGAAATGGAATGAGTTAGAAGGTGTAATGACAGCTTAATGACAGATGCTTTAGTGAAACACGTGATGCCAGATAATTTAGGCTAAAAATGCTCAATTAAATGTGTGTGTTGTACCTTTAACCTGTTGCTGGCACTGAGAGATGGTGTCAGGGCTGTTGTCCACAGAGTCTGCAGGGTCAACATCAGCCTCGAGTGCAATGCAGTCAGAGATGCTTGGAAGCAGTTCATCCAAACATGGACGAGACGAAAGGCTAAGGTACTTCAGTTTCCTGTTTTCACAGTTAAGCTGCACATCAGAGATGACAAGAATCGACAGTAAGAAGCCTATATTGCAACTAAATCCATTCTCATCATCGTTCTACCATCTATTTTTTATTGAATATTAAAAAATGCATTGACTTCTCCATTAACAGGAAGATGACATGGTAAGTTTGTCCCTGCAGAGTCATCCTGACTCATCTGTTTGTCCCATTCTCTTGCCGATGCCAGCTGATAATGCTAATTATCTTGCATCGATTACTGAGTGCTTATGTGTTGGACCAACCTTAGTGGCCAGGGCCTCTGCATTCTCTCGGCAAGACTTTTCGATCTCGAGCTGAGTCTGCAGAACACTGACCTCTTCAATCACCATCTGAGAAACTATTAAACAACACACACAGGTAAATACTTTGTAAGGCAGGGGCCCAATAAAGTAGTTGAAATGTCCCTCCACTTTAAAGCTGTACACAACCCTCCCCTCAACCATAAGCCTTGCAGACCATACATCACTGAAACACTGTTTTTGTAAAAGATGCCAACCAAGAAGTTGCTTAAGTAAGAGTAAAAGATTATTTGGCCAATCAAGTACTGAGTAACTGATCTACCTCCTATGTATGATCATAGCTTCATATTTGAAACAAATAATGTTAAATAATAATAATGTTGAAACATGCTTCGGTGGCGCAGTGTTTAGCACACACAACCCATGTATCGAGGCCTTAGTCCTTGACGCGGGCGACCCGGATTCAAATCGGACCGGTGGTCCTTAGCCGTATGCCTACTGTCAAAAAAAAGAGCCACTAGTGCCGTAAAAACTAAAATAAATAAAATAATGTTAATGATAAAAAGGAAACATATTACATACAAGGGGTGTGGATTGGACGGAATTTGGTGATTCGTGACTTATCATGATATAATGATATATCATCCTAATCAACAAAGACTATATTTTGCGATTTCTATAATAATATAGCTCTGAAACCCTCACAAAATCATGCTGTTGGTCTATTGTGGCTGCTGCAGAGCAGCTGAATGATAGAAACTTGGGCGCTGCATTGCTAACAAACGACTGTCAAATATAGAGATATTTGACAGAATAGATTTTTTTCTTACACCTCTATAACATATGTTCATTATTAAGAAAAGTATATTTTGGTTATAAAACATTTAAAATACATGAACAGTATGTTATATATGAGTTAAAATGGGGAAAGGAACGAGATACAGTGTAATGTACTCTTGCAAGAAAAAAGGTAAAGAAAAAAGATCTTTTGGCTCTTCAACAAATATGCCGCCATTTTCAGACACTATTGTCTGAAACAACTATTGATTAACATAAATATAATAAGAAAAACACGTCTGCTTAAAAGGAAAATATAAAAAATAGGATAACTAAATTTATCTCTGTTTAAATGCTTTACTTGGTCTCCAAATTAGTTTTTAACAATGCCTCATTCATATGACTAAATGTCCTTAAAGGAACCTAAAAACAAATGTTTCTAATCAAATCACCTTTGAAAGTCAGATTAGTGATTGCCTTTATAGAATGAATGGGCTCCTTTGCCTTTTTAAAATACTTTTTAGAAAACACACGTTAGACTTTTGTCTCTACTCTCATTTTCATATCCATAAGCAAACGACTTTTAGGATTGTGCTCAGGCATATTGGCTATAGACTGTCAAGCAAGATAGATTGGTTCAATTTACAGAAATGCATATATACTGTAAAGTAATACCAGTAAAACTTATAGAAAATGTTTTCCAATGGATTAATGAATTCATATTAATAGAAAACAGAGGCCAGAGCATGAGGCCTAAACATTAGAGAGAGTTTGGGTTTGGAACAATGGCAATTATGTACAGTTCTGTAGGTCAAATTCACAATGCAGAAATTGAATATACGACTGGTCTTAAACTAACGTTACTGTTAGACCCTCCAAATATTTACTTTCAAAATTAAAAGAGAGCATTCATTTATGACATGTTGTCTTGCTTGGATTATGATCCGCTGAGTTGGAAATTGCAGGGTGGGTTGTCAGAATATCACATTTTTAGAGATCCAGCACTTCTCATGTATTTCAGAATGACCTACATAAGGAAAAAAACCAAGACTGATAACCCCTTAATCCTCTCACTGTTTAACTCTTTCAATTTCTAGTAAGGAAATCGGCTTCTTTCATCTAAATCATGCCAAAATATTAAACTTTGTGAAGCATCACTATACCTTTCTCTTCGTGAATGAGCATGGTGTTGGACTCCATCTCTGATGTGTAATTCCTCAAACAGAAAGCATGTGCATTTCTCTATCATGCTTCTCCAGTCTGTCTGAAAGACTTCCTCCCTCCTGAGTGACTGATGGGGAGTTTCAGGTGAGTTTGGGGGCACACCTTAAGAGTCGTTAAAGTCATGTGAACAAACCCTGAAAAACTTTCTAGGTCTTTGTCATCTATTCATCAGACTATCTGCCTCCGCCGAAATGCGAAACGTTCTTGTCAAATGAATTACGCTAACAATGGCTGTGACACCACCCAGGGAGAAACCATTTAGACAAAAGAAAAAGCCATCACCATTACCATTACCATTACCATCACTTCTGGTAAATAGTGTGTTTTTTTCTAGATTGCCCCACTTGTAGCACCAGTTTGCCTTTGATTTGGATCTATGTTGATTCAAAGAAGAAGATATTGATAATTAAATTATTAAACTTAATTGGTTATGGGAGTCTAACTTAATTTATTTATTTTATATCAATTTTAGATTGATTTTTAATAAAGTGAATAATCCCAAAATCTTTTCAATTTCACTGTTTTAAAAAAACATTTCTAAGGTTTCCGCTGGTATCAGTGTTAAAAGGTGAGTACAATCAAGATGAATTTTTCCTCTGTCCTTTAACCAAGCAAATCATTGCTCAGTATTTTTTGCATCAACTGGCAGTAGACAAATTAAAGGAGTTTTATTTGATGGTTCCAGTCCTGAGACAGTGCCTGAACCAAAAACGTTCAAAAGGAGAACGAGGCAACTGACAGAAACTCATAATAAGTATAAAACTGATATTTTCTTACAGTGTTTAGTGAAGAACAGTAATAATAATAATTAATAATTGAACTTTATTGATCTCACATAGGAGAAATTTACCTCTGCATTTAACCCATCCCCTTGGAGAGCAACTCACTTAATACAAATCAATAAAACTTTTTTTATGATTTTTCTGAGAAAATCTGATACTTTTTACATTTTCTCCGTTAAACTGCTTGTCTGACATCATCGGACACGCTCAGAGTAGTCTGGCAAAATATGATTAAAACATGTTTATCTTTTTTTGTTATTTCTTTCTTTAGTTTAAGCACTATATACCATAAGGTTAACACGACAGGAAAACATAAAACTCAAAAAGACTAGATTTGTGTTTAAATCTAAAGCCGAAAAAGTTAGCTCCCAGAAGTAGTGTAGGATCCCATTTCTGGTGCAGATTGGACACAGAAAAGAGATTAAACAGAAAGATTTTAAGGCATTTATTTCCCCAGGAAAAACAGTATTAACCTTTAACACATTACAATTTTGTACGCTTAATATTCTTTTGTAATTAAGGAATTTTTTACAAATGAAAATCAAGGGCGACCTGATGTATATCTGGTTGTTGCCGGTACGGATTGGGCAGTGACAGCGCTGGTGCCAGGTCGCCAGTCTATCCCAGGGCAACACAGAGACAAACAGGACGAACATTCATTGATACACACACACTCACTAAATACAATTTAGAGAAGCCAGTTAACCTAACAGTCATGTTTTTGGACTGTGGGAGAAAATCAGAGTACCCGGAGAGAACCCACGCATGCAGAGGGAGAACATGCAAACTCCATGCAGAAAGACGAACATAGAACCTTCTCACTGCAAGGTAGCTAACCACTGCGCTACTGTGCAGCCCCGTGGACATCAAATTGTGAGCTAAACAATCTGTGTTGATAACTTATACTGGGGTTACAAAACAATTATTAAAATGCTGGGTTTCCTAAAAAGTACATTAGCCATTTTTTCCCATAAAGTTTTTTTCTATTTGTTTATAAAGGCTCCAGGTCAGTTCGTCCCTTCCTCATATAATAATTCTCACCTTTCATACTAATGTGTTGCCATTGTGTCCCTCCTCATCAACAGTCACTACTGCTTAACTAATTCTCATCAGTTATTTATTTCTTAGTATTAGTATTTTAATGGGCTGTGGAAATTCATCAATAATAAAATGTTAAAATATACAGAGTTATGGTTTAATAGCAAATAAAACATTTTTAAGACAAAAAAAACAATAAAGAGGATAAATGTGAATAGTTTAAAATATGTTTTATTACATGTATAATAATTAATATTAAAGGGTGTTGACACGAAAAAGAAAACTAAAAAGCAGTGATTAGCTTAAACAATGTGGAGTTAATTGTTATATAAAAAATATATTAAATATTATTGATATTAATGTTGTAATGTTTACATTTTATTCAAATTTAATATCAAATAAGAAGTTGTATAGTTTCTCTCTGGTTAGTGTTCCTAAATGGACTTTAATTATAGCTTCACAGTTCATTACGCTTTATTATTATACTTCATAAGATCTGAAGGCCAGTCGTCATTAGTTAACAAATACAGACCTATCCTTTGAGTCTTTAAACCTAATTTCAACATTCAGCACATTTGATGCATGAGTAACACTGGGATCACTGGTTCTGAGCATCGCTAATATCATCTCAGGGCGTAATGACTGGCTGTTGGTTTGACGTTTCCCTGACTAGTTGTTAACAGACAGTAAGTGAGGCCCTTATGCCTGCTGAATGCACCTGAGGTCTCATCCTGACAACAAATAATCTGCTGCCTGAAATACTATGATCAGCTCATCCTCTAGGAGTCTGTTATTATACATGGTCATATTATTATAAAAACAGAGCTTTTATGTGCTTATCGGTCAAACATTTCCTCTGCCGTCGAACACAAATATTCCACTGAGAGTGACGAGACATCGTTTTTTAAGGTTAAATTAATTAATAAAATAAGCTACATTTCAGATAGTGGAGGCAAACAGTAAAATAACTGTTTAATATTCTTACCAAAAGTTATCTAATAGGGCAGAAGTCTTTGTTGGAAAAATAGGCGTGTGAAGTTTGCTTGTAACTCATCCTTTTACACAAACCTTCCTCAGGACTTGCAGTACTGTTGGTCATGAATGCACTTTAGTTTGTTTTTTTTTATTATGATTTTTTTGTTTTTTGTTGAAAAGTCTTCTCCTTTCATCATCAGTACACAGCTAGGTGGGAGTATTTTCTAATTCAGAATGCTCCAATTCATTTATCCACTCAAAGTCATACCATATGCTAAAAAAGTCTCTGCATAATGATGTTA